TGTCCGGGTTGTACAAGACATTCTATGACGAAGCAGGGATAAATACAGATGGAAGAAATATCTCGAACCACTCCGGTCGCGTTACATGTTGTACAACATTGTACAACAGTGGATTTACCGACAAGGCCGTTACAAGCCGGAGTAAACATCGCAGTAACGCCGTGAGAATTTACCAACGTGAACAGTTTGGTATCCTACAAGATATCAGCAACAAGTTCGGTCCCCCGTGTCCTACTGAAAACTTGCAGCCAAACAACAAAAAACAGCGAAACTGGCACGTCCCGGAGTTTCGACAATAAAAATATCGATGGTCGAATCTCCATGTACTGCTAAAAACTCTGTTGAAAATACCTCTAGCATTGTTCTCTCAATACCCGAATGTGTTAAAAGTGTGGTTATTTTCAAGGGTGAGAAAAAGGTAACCATTGACATTTAAAGAAAGTAAACATGACTTTTGTGTTCATTTATTATCAGGGGCGGTCGGGTAGCCTAGTGGTTAAAGCGTTCGCTCGTCACGCCGAAGACCCGGGTTCGATTTCCGACATGGGTACAATGTGTGAAGCCCATTTCTGGTGTCCCCCGCCGTGATATTGGTGGAATATTGCTAAAAGCTGCGTAAAACAATACTCACTCACTCATTTATTATCAACAGGCCTCATGTGATGTCATTAAACATATGAAAACATTGTTGTCGTTTTCCTTTGACCAATGAAAGCCTGTGTGGGCGTGTCATGAAGAGGCATTTAGCCTTGAGTTCTTAATCATTTAGTGTCTATTTTGTCAGAAAAATCCGGGTTGAGTTCTAATTACTGTTGGAGATCAAACTTTTGGAAAAATTATTTTCCCAGGTTTTCGGTGGGAAAATATTAGAATATGTTAAGGTCCTCGGATTCATCAGTACACCAAGGAAGGCAAACTTAAAAACGTTCGTTCCGGTTTGAGGACCCAAATACTGCAGTCTACCCCATAAGTTCTCATACCAGAATAGGCTTACTGAACTATGACTTAGATACGCGTATAATGCTTGTTGTTTAACAATGCACTCCAATATTCAAACAATGTGATGGCAGCAAGAAAATAAATAAGTCTGGACCAGACAAACCATTGATTGATATTGTGAGCAATCGTCAGCCATGAAGCCGGGTATGATGACACACATCCATCACGTCAACCAAATCTATTTGGTCACATCCTAGGGCAAGTTCACTTAAAAGGGAAGTGTACACGCAGAAAAAAACTTTCTTTCTTTTTTGCTCAGAAAATATAACTTTCTCACAGTGAAAGTAGGAAACCAACAATAAGTTTGAAAATGACCTTGTTATGCCTCATAGGCCTTCGTTTTCCGAGTCAAACCATTCGTGACCAACTCGTGTTATCCCGGGACAAGCCGGAAAAGGGCGAGTGGTGTCGAATGGAGCCAAACAGGCCTGAGTAGGGGGTATATATTTATATTTACTTACCAATATCGAGTTCCTCATTTGTCACCACTCGCCCCTTTCAGTAACCTGCTATTCGGCTTGTCTCGGAATAACAGGAGTTGGTCATGAATGTCGAGTTCCTGTGCCTCGTAGCAGTATGGCTGCGGTCACGTGACTTTGTAGATAGTTTAAATGATCAACGTAAATAATACAACTCTTTTTCTTTCTGCGACTCTTTTAAAAAGGCATTCCGTGGCGGTATAATACATGTCAATTAGGAGTTCAATTATGACATTTCTTCAATTCCAAATCTAGTCACACACGTTGATGCTTTTGGCAGAAAACCTCCTCTGAATTTCATCAATTTCTGGCCGAATCCAGCTACAATTTGACCACACAATGCGTCACTGACAGCAGTCACAGAACCAAGGCCAAGTACAGGTGGTATGACGTCATCATCGCCAGTTCTGACGTCATACGTTTCAAGACGTCTGTGACGTCAAAGTCCATTGGGCTACGTTTTACTACTTTCTATAGACATATACCTACACAAATAGTATCGTGAATGTGCTTTTTTATTGAACAAACAAGGTGAGCGCCGACAAAAACATGTAGATCATGCAAGCACTGGCTGAATTGTGTCCCTTTTATCTGTCGCAAAATCACAAGGAGATTTGAAGACATCCGCAACTCACTGTATCATCCCACAGAGTAAACTCTGCAGCAAGTCTTTTCCCAACACCAGTGGACACAAATGGACAAGCCACAATTTGTATATTTGTTCCCATAGCCTAGCAACAATTAAATTTACTATGTCCTATTCCTTTCGCGAACATATCACTGTGTTTTAATTAGGATATTTAGGATACAGACCTGTATACGTGAAAATCCGGTAGAGAATAGGTCAACCCATGCTTGCCCTAAAAGGCGTCAATGCTTGTCGTGAGAGGCGACCAACGGGATCGGGTTGTCAGGCTCGCTGACTTGGTTGATGCATGTCATCGATCCAAACTGCGTGGATCGAGGCTCATGATATCAATAACTGGATTGTCTGGTCCAAACCTTCCAACATGTTGAGGTTGGTTGGTTTGTTTGTTGTTTTACGCCGCATTCCAGCTAAATGACGGCGGTCTGTAAATAATCGAGTCTGGACTAGACAATTAGTGATTAATATCATGAGCATCGATCCACGCAATTGGGATCGATGACATGCATCAACCAAGTCAGCGAGCCTGACCACCCGATCCCATTAGTCGCCTTTTACGACAAGAATGGGTTGCTGAAGTACTATTCTACCCCTGAATCTTCACGGGTCACACGTTGAGGTAAAACTAGGAAAATTAATAGGGTCCGCTGTCCAATGGTACCTATGTGGTAATGCCAGCTTTCCAAATCCTGAGGCAAAGAAATACAACATTGTTGGAAACTAAGCAGAAACCCTAGACATTCAAAGATGAACTCTCTTTTTATGTTTTCTCTTGGCCGATGACCCAAGTAATATTGACCCGGAAGTTGTCATAACGCCACCCATTCCATTTGTCGACTCCGCTTTCCCGGACCCACATGGCTATACAAAGACGACATGGCACAAAACCATGGCCCACGCACTTCCACGTGGCACATCATTGCAATCCATCACTCAAGACGTCAACACCAAACCCTAGAGGCACCAAGTCTGTCTCTGGTATGTATTTTCAAAGGGCACTCTCATTGTCATTTATATTTTCTGCATGTGTGTTGTGTATTTGTTTTTTTGGCGTTGAGACGTTTTTGCCGTTAAATGCAGCATCAACACTCTTTTGAAACAAGTCACAAATATTATAACACTTCTTCTACTCTTTTGGGACTCTTAATTTCTTTAAATCTATCTTCACATGTGTTCTCTTTTTCTGTAAAACAAATTAATGCAAACTTGAGTTTGTCTTCTATATTTTCTGTGTGACCGTTATTACTTTTTAGTTGTGACCGTTTTGACTTTACCTATCGAGGCCGTTTTGATTACAACTCCTTGTAGACTCGCCGATCGTTGCGATAGAATTGTTTTTATAAAATCCTTGAACTTATCAGCAGACAAAGTTCATTACAGCCTTGGAGCAAGGCTAGCCCACCACCGAAACACACTGTTCGGCCATTCGGCACCGCTCGCCCATTTCCGTAACCCGGAAGCAAGCAGCAAGCACCAATCACAAGCGAGTTCACGAATGGAAAAGGTGTTTGCCTCCATCACATGGTCATTGAATCTTGTGGCAGTCATCACCACACACACGCGTGCTCGCTCGGTCTTGTCGCATCTCCATCGCAGGTCAGGACTGTTAGGCACATGCATCTGCAGGTTAGTCCATTCATATCTTTCACTCGACATTCTTTTTTCTTGCTCACGGCACAGACCATATAATGATCTCTCAGCAATTCTCATGGCAAGAGGAGGTAACTCCTCCTGCACTTATTCTCAAAGCTAGTTTACCACACCTCGGAGGGTCGGTTCCGAATCCCATCTCTTAACTCCTTGATTAACGCAGAAAGCGGAAAAATCAGCGTACATCACAAACTAGGGTAAAGGTTGCGTGCGTATTTCATAAACTGGTATTTTTATCCCCCGCCCCAACGAATTTGGCGGGGGATATACAAATGGGTTCCGTCCATGTGAGTGTGTGTGTGTGCGCGCGCGTGTCTGCGTGTGTGTGTGTGTACATGTGTGCGTGTGTGTGCGTGCGTGTCTGCGTGTGTGTGTGTGTACATGTGTGCGTGTGTGTGCGTGCGTGCGTGCGTGTGTGTGTGCGCCCCGAAATCGTTTCCGGAGCATAACTCAAAAACCGTTAAATAATTTCTTACAAAACCTTGCATGTTTACCAGACACATACTGAACTGGTGCCTTTTGATATTTAGCACTTTTAGAAAGTTTTATTGTTTATGTTTCCATGACAACAAGTTTCACTTAGGTTCTATTATAGGGTGGGTTCATTTATGGAGTATAACAAATAAACTGTTAAATATTTCCTTGCCAAACATTCGAATACGCGGTTTTAAATAGGTGTATTCTCTTCTGCAATCATTTTTTATAATTTCCAGTGTGTTTTAGATTTAATTTATAAGGGACAATATATAAAAAAAAAAATTAAATCGGACCCCACCCCATTTCTATTAACGGTATGCAGTTTTTACATAACTACGCAGTTACTTCCCTTCGGACAAACACGATCGAATTTACTACAGTATTTTTTTAACAATCAAGCTACAATCCTCGCAATTTGAAGCAGTATATGTAAGTATGTTGTAAAGGAGAATATATTTATGACATTGGGTTATTTTGTGCACTGTAAATTTCGCGATGACAAACTGTGATATGTGTTTAAAGTTTAACAACAAACTTTGTCCGGGTGAACCATTTCAATTTGTTTACATTGTCAATCACGTGTTTGTGACTAAAACATGTTTATTATCACTAAAGAACATTGTTTAACGTAGTTAGGAGGATCAATTATGATGTGATGTGCGTTACGATACAAAAAGCAAATGAGTAATTTTGAAGCAGTTTTATGAACTTTTAGGAAGAAAAAAATTCTGACAACTTTTATCATCACTATGGCTGAAGAGCAAGCACAACCTGTTACTCAAGCTACATTTCAAGGCAATATTCCCCCACCTCCAAGACTTGAATTAAAGGGAAATCTTGCACAGAACTGGAAAAGATGGAGACAAATCTGGGACTCTTTTGAAGTTATGGCCAGAATTGATGCAAATGACCATAAATACAGACTTGCTTCATTCATAACCTACATAGGTCCAGAAGCTCTTGATATCTATAATGGCTTACCTTATGAGTCTGAGGAGGACAAGGAGAACATGGATACAGTGTTAACTCTCATGGAAAGGCACTGTCTAGGTGAAACTAACGTCATATATGAAAGATACATCTTCAACCAAAGATCACAAGTGGAAGGTGAATCTGTAGATACCTACACAAACACTCTCAGAACATTGGCTGCATCTTGTGATTTCAAAACGTTACATGATGAACTCATCAGAGACCGAATTGTGTGTGGTCTGAGAGATAATGCAACACGTAGAAAACTATTGCAAGAACCTAAGCTGACTTTGAAGAGATGTATAGATATATGCAGAGCAACTGAATCAACCATGGCTCAAGTAAAAGCAATGTCAAGTGCCCAAGAGGATATCCATGCTGTTCGCAAGAAATCTAAAACTCCATGCAGACGTCAACCCCCAGACAAAAGTAAACATAGTAAGCCAGTAAATGACTCACAACAGAAAACTCTCATGTGGAACTGTAAATATTGTGGTAAACGTCACCCACCTCAACGAGAGCATTGCCCAGCATGTGGTGTCAAATGCAGTAACTGTGGTAGATTTTCACACTATGCCTCCGTGTGCAAGAGTAAGAAGAAACATTCCTCCCGAGTACACAGAGTCGATGATCAATGTGATGAATCTGATATTGATCCTACAGAGGAACTGATGACTATAGATACCTGTGAAGAATCTGTCAACTGTGTTGTAGGACAATACCCTACTAAAATCTTCACAACACTTGAAGTGAACTCTCAACCAGTACGATTTCAGGTAGATTGCGGGGCTACTCGTAATGTTATCTGTAAAAAGTATCTCCCAGAGGATACTGACATGCAGGAAACGTCGGTTAACCTGAAGATGTACAATGGGTCCAAGCTTACTACAATGGGAACTGCTAATCTCCATTTACACAATCCAAAGAACTCTAAAAAGTATCATGGCAAGTTTGTTGTGATTGCTGAGGACAGAACACCACTGATTGGATCCCGTTCTGCTCAACAAATGAACTTTATCAAAGTGCTCCACGAAAATATTCATGAAGTTTCTGAAGAGAAACCTCCGTCTGAGAAAGTCACATCCTCAACTGGTCTTACAAAAGAGGACATACTGAAGACATACCCAGACATCTTTAGCGATGAACTTGGAACTTTTGAAGGAACTCAAAAGCTAGAAATTGATCCAAGTATAACGCCTGTCAAACAGCCACTCAGGAGAATTCCACATGCTCTCAAGCAAGACCTCAAGACAGAACTCGAACGTCTAGAAAAACGTGGTGTAATTACTCCAGTTGATACACCTATAGACTGGGTCTCTAGTCTCTTGATCGTTAAGAAGCCCTCAGGACGTCTACGCCTATGCATAGATCCTAAACCTCTCAATAAAGCTCTCAAAAGATGTCACTATCCATTGCCTGTAATGGAAGATATACTGCCAGATATTGCAGAAGCCAAGGTGTTCTCTAAATGTGACTTGAAAGATGGTTTCTGGCATATCGTACTTGATGAGGACTCTAGTTATCTCACAACCTTTGGAACGCCGTTTGGACGCTATCGGTGGCTCAGACTTCCTTTTGGTGTTTCCCCTGCACCAGAGATATTCCAGCAGAGAATCGATCAGCTTCTCCAAGATCTGCCTGGAGTATTCAGGATAGCAGATGATATATTGATCATTGGTGAAGGCTCTACCAAGGAAGAAGGAATAGCAAACCATGACAAACGGTTTGTGCAATTCATGATACGATGCCGAGAGAAAGGTATTCGACTCAACTCAGACAAACTTGATCTGAAAAGGTCAGAAGTCTCTTACATTGGTCATCTTCTAACAGATCATGGACTCAAACCTGACCCTAGAAAAGTGAAAGCAATCCTTCAAATGCCTACACCTACAGATGTTCAAGGTGTCCAACGTGTGATCGGGATGGTTACATATCTATCCAAGTTCCTCAGAGACTTGTCAGATCTGTGCGAACCCATACGACAATTGACAAAGAAAGGAATCCTTTGGAATTGGACACACGAACATGATGCTGCTTTCGACTCTATCAAGCGAGCTGTCACTCAAGCGCCTGTTCTCAAGTACTTCAACAGTCATGAAGAAGTCTCTCTTCAAAGTGACGCATCAGAAACAGGACTTGGAGCTACTCTACTTCAAGGTGGACAACCAGTAGCATACGCTAGCAGAGCTCTTACTCCCACAGAAAGAAACTATGCTCAAATTGAGAAAGAGCTCCTGAGCATCCTGTTTGGATTCACTAGATTCCACCAGTATCTCTATGGACGCAAAGTACAAGTCGAAAGTGACCATAAGCCTTTAGAGACTATACACAAGAAACCTCTGGTCACAGCTCCCAAGCGTCTTCAACGCATGCTTCTCGCCTTGCAGAAGTATGACTATACCATCACATACAAGAAAGGCAAGGAAATGTATCTTGCCGACAGCCTGTCTCGTGCATACATGACAGAGACAGAAGAAGCTGTGGATGTGGAGATGGAAACAGAACAAATCCACATGTTAGACTACCTGCCTGTGTCTAATGAAAGACTCACTGAAATCCAACGTGCCACCGCTCTGGATGAAACCCTCCAGGTTGTAGCCAAGATGGTACAAGTAGGATGGCCCGAGACAAAGAGTGACATACCTAATCTTGCAACACCATATTTCCATGTGAGGGATGAACTTAGTGTTCAAGATGGAATTCTGTTTCGTGGAAACAGATGTGTTGTTCCAATAGCATTACGATCTGACATTCTCAAACGTCTACATAATGCTCACACTGGCATAGAATCAACCAGGCGAAGGGCCCGTGAATGTGTTTATTGGCCTAACATGAATGCTGAAATCAAAGACTTCATATCCAAATGTGAAGTTTGCCAGATCTATGATTCCAAGCAAGCCAAGGAACCTCTGATTCCTTATGACACTCCAGACAGACCCTGGTCAAAGCTAGGTATTGATTTGTTCAACTGTAATCAGAAAGACTATGTAATCCTAGTTGACTACTTCAGTGATTTCTTTGAAGTAGATATGATCACTGACAAAACAGGAAAACAAGTGATCCAGAAACTCAAAAGTCATTTGGCTAGACACGGAATACCGGATACCATAATCTCAGACAATGGTCCACCGTTCAATTCTCAGGACTTTGCTGATCTCGCCAACAAGTATGAGTTTACTCACATAACAAGCTCACCAGCCTTCCCACAGTCGAATGGTAAAGTCGAGTCTGCAGTAAAGTCAGCCAAGAGACTAATCAAGAAATGCTCAAAAGCAGGTTCTGACCCTTATCTAGCCTTGTTAGACATCCGCAACACACCAACTGAAGGAATGTCTACATCCCCTGCACAGCGCCTGTTCAATCGCCGCACCAAGACTCTACTACCTACGACCAAACAGTTACTCCAACCAGCTGTTTGTCCAACAGTCAAATCTGAAAAGAGGAAGAAAGTAGAGAGTCAAGTGAAGTATTTCAACAGACATGCAAAAGACCTGTTGCCATTGTATGAAGGCGACCAAGTGCGCATTCAACCAATCAGACTAGGTGATCATGAATGGAAAAAAGGCACAGTAAACAAACAAGTTAACATCAGATCATATGAAGTTAACCTTGATGATGGTCAAACACTAAGGAGAAATAGACGTCACTTGAGACCAGTACCATTTACACCTCATGAACCAGAACCAGCATCTCAACATGCTCAAGCACCAGCAATTATACAAGCACCAGAGCCAGGTACAGACCAGCCACTGAAACAACCGTCTCCCAAGAAAGTTAAACAGTCACAGACACAGCCATTGGTGACAACAACAAGTAACAACAACTCATCACCGAGAATCACGAGAAGTGGTAGAGTTTCAAGACCACCTGCACACTTGAAAGACTTTAACATGAAAGTGTGAACATGACTTTAATTTTGTGTATCTATTAAGTGCTGGGTGCACATCAATTTGATTTCATGGACTTTAATCTTTTTTACAGGCATATGTTTCTTTATTTCAACAGTGACTTTAGTAGGAACAGTGACTTTAATGTGAACAGTTTCACACTCCCTATTATCTCATTGACTTTAATTGTTTTCTAAAAAAAGGGAGATGTTACGATATGTAATATTCATCTCGTGCATCACGTCCCCAAATATGTCAATGGGACATCACGTGATTTCCATGTACCGACTTCCGGAGTAAAACCAACATCAAGCAGACGCCTCCTGTGATCCTTAAGTTATGCATCATTCTCGAATACAACAAAACACATAACGAAACAATGTGTTACAACAAGTAACTCAATTTATGTTTTAATTAATGTAAAGTACAGTGGGCTTGTATGAAATATTGTACAGCAATGATTCATGGGGGTTGGGGTGGGGCAGATAGGGTGATTGTAATAATCTTCCCACCCCACCCCACCCACACCCCCACCCCATGCTCTATTTAATGTATATAAGTGTGTTTTATTTAGTGCACAGTCTGTTATATATATATCAAAAATTGTCAATTTATTTGATTGTGCCAATTTTCATTTTAGTAATGGTTTATTACTGAGAGATTGTGAATCTGTAACATCAACCTATTCTGTTATATATATATCAACAATTGTCAATTTCTCAATGTTTGTCAGAAACTGATAAGGTTGCACAGTGGCTTCATGATCATTTTGAGTGTGAACTTTGTGAGCAAAAAAACTTCTTCAAGAGAAACATTGATTTAAAAAAAGATTACAATATTCACTCATTACGGGATAAATGACTTCGATAGGTGTTGAGAATTAACTGTTACTTGCAAGCTCCTCACAGCGATAGTACGTTCCCGCAGCTCTGTTACCGAGAGTGTAACGAAGGTGTCACGCGCTGGGAAGGAGCTTGTGTTACTTGAATGAAAGGGAGGTAACTCTTGTATCTGTCTGTTACAGTTGGCTTATTCACTCACCTTAAAAAAATACAAAATCAGATTTTAGTACCGAAATAATGTAATTAATATTTTCATTAATTTTCACCTCAGTACACAAAAAGAATTAGTTTGAATAATGCTATAGCATTGTTTTAAGAATAATTGAAGGCTCTGCACACACAAGTCCATGGTCCACCACTGTATGGTGCTCAGGGGCGTCTGCTACTCCAAAATATGATATTTCCTTACAACTATAAATGAATGACTTGGTCGTAATTACAGGTTCTACTACACTAAATCAGAACCGGTTGGGACAGTGTGGTTTTTCAGCCTTCAGTGCAGATCGAGAGTCATCTGCAGGCTGTGATTGGATGATATTGTGTAAGATTTTTATGTTGTTTAAATGTACATCCATCCAGTAATTAAAACTGACCATATTTTTCAATATTTAATTTGGTGCTGACCTTTTCAACAAGTTGACTTGTGCTTTATGTAAGCATAGCTATTTTCAAGTAGGCGACATTTGGTGCGAAACTCGGGGTGGTGTGTTTAGCTTCCTCTACTTAGCAAAGGAGCTGGCTAAGCTGGTCATTTTTTATGTTTTTATTGCTACTCTAAGGCCAAACTGTGCACACACGTACAGGTTATAGCTGTTGAATTCTTAGTTATTTTTAAAAGAAATATAACTTTACTATAGAAGTCAATGGAAAACATTTGGTTGTGTGTAACCTGTAGGGCGAGTGCACATTTCAGTAATTCCTACTTTACATGCTTTCCTGTTTATATTTCACCATGGATACACCTTGGAGGTAAATGTAAAAATAATGACAGTGAAGTTGGGGACATTTTGGGTTGAATGGAGCATTTGGATGGCCTGGAAATGAATGTTGCTTCGTATTGTGGTCGAACTCAGCACGAACCCCCCAGGATACCTCTGTCCATCAAGCCCTCCTCCTGCCTTCTGAATTTGTGGAAACTGATGAATTTGACAACAAATTAGGATAAAGTCACCACTGCCATAACAATTTCTGCCTTGTGTCAATCGCTTGCCAGTCAAGTTACGCAATGCCGTTATCTTTAGTATGAAGCATGTACACTGCTGACAGCAGAATATGTCACAAATCCCCTTATTTATAGTAAACAATGTAGCATACCAATATATCTTTCTGTTAGGTGCTTTTGTGTGAATGAAAGATTTTTCTATTAAGTTTCCTAAAACAGACTTATTTTTCACTCATATGACTTTCAAATATTTATTTTGTCCCCTCAAGAACTGACTCCTGGCTGTTATATCCAAACTGGTTTGCCATTTGATATTGTCTGTACCCTTTTTTTCAGCTGTTAGCATGCCTGATGTTGACTGGGGAGGTATATGTGCACTCATGCAGAAGAAGTAGAAGTTTTCACATCCAATTTGGCATTTAGAGAAGCTGATCCGAAGTCCGGTGTTGGCAGTGTGTGATCGACAACCCTTGTTTTGCCTCGCTGCGCTCTATTACCTTGTAGACATTGTGGAACTTGGACATGTAGGTACATTAAGTACATTAAAGAAGCCCAGTCCACTTGAGTCCCCTCTGTTGCTCACTATCAAGTCTGTAATAAGATCACACTCATGCACTAGACATTTCTGACAGTGCTCCCTTAATGCCTCACTGTGCATAGAGTAAGGGCTATACACCAGTCCCAGAACCTGCTTAGATGAAAATAATATCCACTGGCTCTTTTGGATTGTAACATTATGGTTCTGAAATCATCTGTAAAGAATGTGATAGTGTTCGACAATACTAAATTATCTCCCCTGTTTAGTAAAATGCATTGTATCTTTCATTCCCCTATAAACCCATAAATTATTGGAGAGAAACACTATTTTAAGCTGGTATTGCATGACACTGTTAATTGTGAATAAAAAGAATTACATTTATGTCAGGGTAAGCTGTACTTTTTCAAAATTATATGGACTTTTAACTTTGTTTCATTGAAACTGGCAAATAACTGAAATTAGCAAGTTTAGCCACCTTGAAACATTAAACAGTAAGTATGTTTGATTTCCTGTGAGTATTTTAAAGTCTTAACTAAATAAATCAATAGAGTTAAGTGTAATTTCCTTCCATGTTGTGGTTTCAAAGAGCTTTCTTCTACTTGAGCGTCCATTTCCATTTCTTGGCTTTAATAGGCCGTGTGGTTCACTGGTCAGCCTTTGAGATTGCTGGCAACAATGCACCCCTTTACTTCCTACTTTCTGGTAAAGTTCATTATCCAGCCTTACATATATGATGACTTTAAAGCTGCTTAATGTGTCCCTTGCTTATTGTTGGCCTGAATTCCATGCTCTCTGTCCAAGTTTGAGATTTTTTTTCTGATTCCTTTCCATGTGTACTTATGTCACCAGCCTATATCGTAGGTGATTGTACTTTTGATTTTTGGAGTAAATGAAATCACAAACATTTGTGATAGCCCCTCCATAGATGATTTACCAAATGCTGACAGCCATTTGAGTGTTTAACTATATAAACAATGGTTGGTGTAAGTTCGAGCAACCTCAAACAATATCAATCGCATCAAAAACCAGTGTCAAAACCATATTCAATGAATGTAGCAGACTCTGCTATGTTCTGATGATGTCAGCAAAGGAAGGCAAACGACAGACCACTACTCAATTTTAAATATGTATTGTTACTGGTTTTGAGGTTTAAAGATTTGTTCAATTTTTTTAGTCGAAAAAATATTTTAGGGTGATATGATCTATGCAGCCTGAATCATTTATAGAATTGACCCTTGACCCCTTTCTTTTATGAAATATGAATTAACTCCCATGGTCAGTGCATGGAGGAAGAAACTTCTTTATTAATACAGAAATACCTTTTGTAAAACATTGATGAAGTGTACATCCTTAAACTCTCACAACTCTTACTGTGCATCAAAACTATGTATTCTGGTGCCATATAGACATGCTGGATAGGAACAAGTGGTAGAGTTTAATCCAATTTCCACTTTTTTTTTCTGAGAAGCTACATATATATACAATACATAAATCACAGATTTGACAAGTGCAAATGTATTCTGATTTGTCTACAGGTTCTACTACACCAAATCAGAACCAGTTGGGACAGTGCGGTTTTCGTAGGGAGCCTTCAGTGCAGATCGAGAGATATCTGCAGGCTGTGATTGGAGGATTTTCTGTAAGATTTTTATGTCTTTCAAATGTACATCCATCCAGTTATAAAAACTGACCATGTTTTTCTATATTTAGTACTGTCTTTTCCAACATGATGAGTAGGTAGGTGACATTTGGTGCGAAACTGGGGGTGGTGTGTTTAGCTTCCTGTACTCGGAAAAGGAACTGGCTAAGCTGGTCATTTTTTTATGTTTTTATTGCTACTCTAAGGCCAAGCTGTGCACACACGTACAGGTTAAAGCTGTTGAATGCTTAGTTATTTTTAACAAAAGTTTAACGTTACTACAGAAGTCTATGGGAAAACATTTGGAAGTGTGTAACCTGTACCATCAAGGATATGTGTTCCTGCCTGTTGTCAGACTCTGTACCATCAAGGACATCTGTTCCTGCCTGTTGTCAGACTCTGTACCATCAAGGACATTTGTTCCTGCCTGTTGTCAGGCTCTGTACCATCAAAAACATCTGTTCCTGCCTGTTGTCAGACTCTGTACCATCAAGGATATGTGTTCCTGTCTGTTGTCAGACTCTGTACCATCAAGGACATTTGTTCCTGTCTGTTGTCAGACTCTGTACCATCATAGACATTTGTTCCTGCCTGTTGTCAGACTCTGTACCATCAAGGATATGTGTTCCTGCCTGTTGTCAGACTCTGTACCATCAAGGACATCTGTTCCTGCCTGTTGTCAGACTCTGTACCATCAAGGATATGTGTTCCTGCCTGTTGTCAGACTCTGTACCATCATAGATATCTGTTCCTTCCTGTTGTCAGACTCTGTACCATCATGGATATGTGTTCCTGCCTGTTGTCAGACTCTGTACCATCAAGGATATGTGTTCC